GGAACGCGGGCCGGACTTTGGACATGACTGGTTTAGGCAATATGCCCTACATAAATTATAATGTAGGTAGATAATAAGAGAACCTATAGATGAAAGTATAGGTAGAATATAGAGGGACAAGTATAAAAGAATAGAACAGAATGGAACTACAAGGCTTCAGATAAATAGGAAAAGGAGACTTTAGTGAATCAGCCCCCTCTTGGAAGGAGGACTAATAACGTATGGAAATAACACCTTGCAATATTGGAGGCAAAGTCCAGACTGGTGTTATACAGGTTGGTGTAAATCTGATTGGCAGTAATAAGCAGAGCAGAAGTGTAAGTCAGGTTGGTTTGGTGAAGGTCGGTCTAAAGCTGGTTAGAAGGATAATGCAGAGTAGAATTGTAAGTTAGGCTTGTTTGGAGCAGGTTGGTATAAACCTTGTTATCAGGATAGAAGTGTAGGTAAGGCTGTTTTGGAACAGGTTGGTATCAAGCTGATTAGGAGGATAGAAGTGTAGGTAAGGCTGGTTTAGTGCCGGTCGGTCTAAAGCTGGTTATCAGGATAAAAGTGTAGGTTACGCTGGTTTGGAACAGGTTGGTATCAAGCTAGTTTGGAGGATAGAAGTGTAGGTTACGCTGGTTTGGAACAGGTTGGTATCAAGCTGGTTAGTAGGTTAGAAGTGTAGGTTAGGCTGGTTTGGAACAGGTTGGTATCAAGCTGGTTATCCGGATAGAAGTGTAGGTAAGGCTGGTTTGGAACAGGTCGGTCTGAAGCTGGTTATCAGGATAGAAGTGTAGGTAAGGCTGGTTTGGAACAGGTTGGTATCAAGCTGGTTAGTGTCAGGATTACAAGTTGATCCAGCACGTAGCTGCTCCAACCTACCTATCCTCCCTAATACACAAGTATGTCCCGTTGAGGCCCCTACGCTCTGCCAAAAACCTACGTATATCCTCTGTCCGTACTCCCACCTCTAATGATCGCCTCCAAGATTTCTCCAGGGCTGCACCTCTTCTGTGGAACTCCCTTCCCTTCTCTGTAAGACATTCACCCAGTCTCCACTCATTCAATAAAATCACTTAAAACTCACTTCTTCAAGAAAGCATTTCAATTAAACTGTTAGCAGGTTTTTATCCCCCACCTCCCATGACTCCTCTCCTGCAACTATCAAAAAATTACCTACTTAGCCCAGTGAATACCTTTCTTACAACCTACTTTGTACCCCTACTTTTACCTTTTGGGTCACTATAACCCACTCCCTCTAGAATGTAAGCTCATTGAGCAGGGCCCTCCACCTCTCTGTTCCTGTACGTACAGTTGTCTGGTTACAATTACATGTCTGTTAGTCCACCCATTGTACATGGAATCTGATGGTGCTATATAAATAATAAAATAATAACTGTATCACAACTAGGACTAACAGGTAACGTCTGACCGGGCCTTAAATTATTGGACTTAACATACCAAAGAATAGTCAGAAATAAACGCTCAGAAATACACTCTCGGATAACTGGGGAAACCACGACAGGGCAATTAGGAAAAGGCACAAGGAGTTTAAATAAGCCTTTCTCAGATCCAATTGACCGTACCCGACCTTTGACCCCAGGTCGTGCGTGCGCGTCTGTGACGAAATGCCTTTTGTCACTGGATTGTTAGGTGACAAGCTGCCCTGATTGCCAGCTTCCATCCTCATGACTATGGCCCTGAGGTGTATTGCCATTTAAAAAGACTATTTGGGGCTCACTGGCTTCTAAAGACTGTTTCTGCCCATTTGAATCCATGGGAAGGTGTGTCTCTTCCCCTCCCCCGTTTCCTGTCTATTGTTCTCCAGCAGGGCGTTGTCCCAGGCACACTGCCAAACCAGTTGGAACTGACTGCTTTTGTCCCTCATTGGGTTGTCAACAGCCCTTGCTATGCATTACCCCATGGCAAATTTACTCTGTTCACGGGATGTGAGCGCTGTTCACCTTGATTGGGCGCTCAGACCCGAGCGGTTCTGTGTAATATAATAAGAATTATGTATTTTTATGTACTTTTACGTATTTTTGCTGTAGATATGTAAATATGTAGATATTTTCTGTACCTGGAGATAATTGTGTTTACTGCAGTGCCTTAAGCCAATTATCTCCAGGATGGAGAGGAGGGATTTCATTGTGTATGTTGGAGTGTTATTATGTTAATTAGTGTTCCCATTGGTTTGTGTCCCTTTTGTCACAGTTTACCACCAGGTCTAGGGGGTGTGCCTCTGGCCTGAAAACTTGTATATAAGGAGTAATAAACGCTCATTGGAGTCAGATCATCTTGTACCTTCATGAGGTTTCAGCTCATGTTTGGGGGATTGGAGGACTACACTCTGGGGATTGCTATAATCACTATACTCCCCAGGGTATAATCACTAATCTCTTCTAAGAGCTTGTTCCCGTTCTCTGGAATTCGGAGAGGTTGACCTACTGGAAGCTGGACCCTGGTCTTGGGTCCAGAGTGGGTGGAGACGGTGAGACCCCAACCAAGCTACCGCAGTTCATGGGAGTCTACAGTGGTTTTGGTGTCGGCGGAGTACTTGGAGTCCTCGGGAAGCACTAGGAGCATCCATCAACGGAAGGTACCCGGTCGGGGTGCAAGCGGTTCCGTTACAGCATCTTTTACGTGACGTCGAACGCACGCCGATGTCGTCAATGCCGTGGGTGGACGTGGGCTTACAAATGTAATGGAATTATAATAATGAAGGAAGAACTATGCTTTCCGTAATAAAATCATATTCATGCATGACAATGCACCATCTCATGCTGCAAAGAATAACTCTGCATCAATGGCTGCTATGGGGATAAAAGGAGAGAAAGTAATGGTGTCGCCTCCATCCTGCCCTAACCTCAATCCTATTGAGAACCTTTGCAGCATCCTCAAGCAAAAGATCTATGAGGGTGGGAGGCAGTTTACATCCAAACAGCAGCTCTGGGAGGCTATTCTGACATCTTGCAAACAAATTCAAGCAGAAACTGTCCAAAAACTCACAAGTTCAATGGATGCAAGACTTGTGAAGCTGCTATCAAATAAGGGGTCCTATGTTAAAATGTAACGTGACCTGTTAAAATGTTTAAAAAGTTAAAATGTTGTTATAAGTTTGATTGAAATAGCTTTTGATTTCAGTAAATATGCTGCAAACACAACAAATGACAATATTCAGTTCTTTACAATCTATAAAGTGTTTTGAAACTTACTGTGGATTTGGAACAGTGCATTGTAAGTTTATGTTTAAAAAAAAATACTGTTATCATTAGGAGGTTTGTTCAATAAAATTTGAATTGTACTCTTAATAGTTGATAACATGAAAATTATGCTGACTGTTATTTACATTATTTAGGTAAATGAGAAAAATATTTACATAATAATTTGGAACAGTGTGTATATATATATATATATATATATATTGTGATAAAGTGAAGGCAGATAGGCCTTTTAACCCCAGGGGGAGTATGTGTAGCTTGTGTGTTGCACAACACAAAGCATTGTTTAGTTATGTGCCCCTGGGGTGGAGCATTTGGAGAGAAGGGTGGGCCAATGCTCCACTCCACAGTTTAGTGGTTTTCTGGGGAGACATAGATCCAGGCCAGGGTTTTTTGGACCGTCTCCAACCCACTGCTCAGCTGCAATTAATGAGCTATTGCAGTGGGAATAAACCCCTCCCAGCTAGGCAGGAAAAGGAGAGGGATTGCTGGCTTCCTCCAAGGAAGCAGGTAGGAGAGAGAGGCTGTTCTCTCCAGATAGAGTCAAGGAGACTAAGCACTGGGAGTGCAGAAAGGAAGCAGTCAGGGCAAGGCTGGCTTGGAGCACTGGGAGTGCAGAAAGGAAAGCAGTCAGGGCAAGGCTGGCTTGGAGCACTGGGAGTGCAGAAAGGAAAGCAGTCAGGGCAAGGCTGGCTTGGAGCACTAGGAGTGCGGAAAGGAACGCAACAGGCTAGCCAGCAGAGTGTTTTTGTTTATAGGGTTTTGTGTTACATTTATGTTTTAATTTACTGCTGTATCCTGTGTGGATTTGCAAATAAAGTGCCTGAGTATATGCAATTACAAGGACTGTGCATGTTTTTACCCTAGAGGGCCGTGCTACCTGCCGACAAGGATCACAATATATATATATATATATATATATATATATATATATATATATATATAAAAAATTATTCCTGCACACACGCTAATACTCCCCTTTGTGACTGGGTGCCAGCCATATATAGCCAAAATATACAAAAATCCAAATAGATGGCTGCACTCACGGTTTTGTATAAAAGTCCAAAGTTTATTGTAGAGTCATAAAAACTTGCGATCAATGTTTCACTCCTTCCAAAAGGACTTTCTTCATGATCCTGAAGAAAGTCCTTTTGGAAGGACTGAAACGTTGATCGCAAGTTTTTATGACTCTACAATAAACTTTGGACTTTTATACAAAACCGTGAGTGCAGCCATCTATTTGGATTTTTGTATATATATATATATATATATATATATATATATATATATATATATATATATATATATATGTTCAGGGCCATTTTAGCAATGAGAATGAAATAGAGATTAATTCATCTACCTTTAATAAGCAATGTCGGTTGAGGTGTGCCGATACCGACGTATGTGGTAGGCCTGTAAATAAGTGGGCCTACCTTAGATAGAATTAAATAGTGAGTGGAGGGTGGGCCAGCAGTACGTCTGGAACCAATCAGGTAATATAGGGAAGGGGGTGGGGAGGAGGAGTCCCTTTTAAAGGTACATAGCCTCTCCCACATCTTCAGGCCCAACCTTCCAATTTGTGTTCGGGGCCATTTCAGTAATAAAAATGAAATAGAGATTCATTCATCTACCTTTAATAAGCAAAGTCGGTTGAGGTGTGCCGATGCAGACGTATGTGGTAGGCCTGTAAATAAGTGGGCAAAAGGAATACCAATCTTGCTCAAAAGATATTTATTACGAAACCACGTGACATAATACCAACATATTTATGAGGACATCCTAACAAATGCCCTTCTTATTTCCTGTATTGGTTGCAGTATATAAACAACATAGGCTGACGACTTCCAGCGGCCTTACGTTTTGATCACATGTACTGGAATGTCTTGGCTTGAGGCAGTGGATGCTGCTCCTATCTTAAATGAGTGCCCCAAATATTTGTTGGCGTTCAAGCCGAGTCGTGTCAACAATAATCGTATATATATACCATAAATTTAGACATGGTGAGCGTAGCCCCGTTAAGTGACAGGAAAGGGAGTGAGGCATGAATGGGTATGAAAGTAGGTATGTGTAACATATTCTGCCTCACCTTTCGGTCTGTGCACCCAGCGGCCTCTGCACCCAGTGGCCGTGCGTCTGTATGAATGACACTTGCGACATGCTAATGGATGCCAGCTGCTACGGATCCACGGCCAAATATACCTCCCGTCCATACTGGTACCCCTATTGAGTCAAATAAGTGAACTGCCTTATTTAGACTGCGTGGGGGGGATGCATTGTTCTCTACAAACAGAAAATCATCCAGGTACTGGATGACGCTATGGCACCTGCTTGTATTTAAGGGCAGCCAACACAAGGTCTCCGCAAAAGTGTCAAAAATCTTTGGGCTACTCTTAGAGCCCAAAGGGAGCCTTGTAAAAAAGTAATTTAGGCCCTTCCATTTAATGCCATAGTGACGGATGGATGGGAAGTAGCTTAAAAGCGTTCACAATGTCAGTCTTGCTAAGTCAGGCGCCTATGCCCACAGATTTGATGGCAGATACTGCTTCATCAATGGTAGTGTACTGTAGGGAGAATTCTTCATAGGTGATAAGAGAATTAAGACTAGGAACTACCGAAGAATGTGGCGCAGAGGGGTCTATGATTAGTCTCTGCTTATTTGTGTTTTTCCCCGTGACCAAACCAATAGGGTTGGTTCTCCAGCTAGAGAAAGGGGGTTCAGTAAATGGTCCTAGTACAATCCTTTGTGCTTGCTCAATCAGTAGCAATGTATCTACTGTGTCTGTGTCGGTCAAGACTAACTGAAGATTGTTAGACTACCAAGTCCCTTCTGGCATCTAGATAAGACCCGTGTGGAAACCTTGGGAGAAACCCGAAACTAAATACTCAACCAAATGTTTACATGGGTGGTTGGAATATAGTCCCGCCAGAACTTCAATATGCATTTTATTAGGGCACATAGCTTTTGCGTGTGCCCTGAAACAATGAGAGCATACATGCAACAGACGACATGCACTATAAGCACAAGCCTCAACATTAAAGTTGTTACAAATCTGGGACTTGCCTAGATACACAATTGGGCGACCCAGTTTATCCCTGCCTTGCTTTTCTGCCCTCGAGGTGCTTGGGATGGCAGTGGTTAGGGTAGAGTCCAGTGTAACCGGGCAGAGGTTTGAGGAATGTTGCACAAGCTGGGGACGTTAGCCCAGCAAAGTGTCTAAGGAACAGCTCTGTATCCAGTTGGCTTCAATCCATCCTTGCGTTACACTGGGCCAGAGCTGTTGATGCCTTTGTTGTAAATGAACGGTGGTAGTCGTAGAATGACGAACCACCGTATTTGTTGCCCAGGTCCACCAGCTTATGCATACACAGGTCTAGTCCTCCTCTTTTCTATGAGGGTACACTGAACATAGCACATCCCTGTAAATCCCGAAGGCAATTACAAAGTCAGGGATAGATTAACTTTCTGCTCAGTCTTGGGTCTCTAGCCTTTAGGACCACCTAGATGTCGCCGTATGACTAGGAGCAGTTCTCTACAACAACCTGGGAGGCAAAGAGAAGCGAGACAAGATTAACGTCTTTGCCCTCCAGGATGTCTTTCTTAAGGTTCGTGTAAAAAAATGTAGATGAGATTGGGTGTTCATGTTAATGTTGACTCTTCTTAATTTCTTCTTGTCTTGAGTTGATTGATATATATACGTCTTTTGTATATATAATCTTGGGCCAAATGCTCGCCACAATAATATATGTCTATATTATTGAAAAGTAGTAATACGCAATCTGACTTACGGTTTCTTCCGGTTTATTCTTTGTTACGGATACATAATAAAGCATAATAAATGATGTTACAGGATTATAGACATTCAACAGCAGATGGTAATTGCTGGACTTCTGATGGGAGAGTTACATCGTTGTACAGAGCCAAGCCAAGACAAGGACTAAGACTGAGAGCGACCTCGTGTCCCTCTGTTACTATATAGATGTACTAATACTAACGTCAGCATATAACTCTAGCCATATAAGGACAAGACCCCCGAATCCACATTCCAGAGCTCTCGGACAAAGAAAGCCTTGTGACTTATTGATACCATCTGTTACTTATGTCAATCCACACATCCATATATATAATCAATAGAAACATAGAATATGCAATATTCTACATTCCCTCTGTTTATGGTTTGTTTTAAAACCATAACACAATGTAATTAACCTGTCCATTCATACATCACTTGTATCACATTCATTGAGCATAGAACAAGATGTAGTCACAATTTTCTATTATATGAGAGTTCTTAGAAGGTCGAGTTTCTATCCCTCATACTGCTTACTTTACTTCCAAACTCCCTTTGTTTCAGCTATGTATTGATATCCATATCCATGTTACATCATAACTACTTGAACATAATATATACATATATATAACAATAATAAATGAATACAATATTTACAAATGTTGATCCAATAAACAATGTAAAGCAATGAGAAAGATCAACCTGCTCAGGTACTATCAAGTCTTTGTAGATAACAAAATCCAAGATCGTAACTTTCTAAATAATAACTGTGTATCACTATCATACTCCTACAGACACATATAGCATAGTATTTTCATTCTCAATACCTGATATTACTTAAGTACTAATACATGTATTACTATAATATCCTGTCCAATTATATTTCCATGAATCGTATGGTTTCTAGCAACCTTAAAATCTTTAGGTCATTTGTATTCATGAATTACATTCCTATACCATTAATACCATCTAGTGATGATTGTATCAGTACTTTACAATCATATTATTTAATTTGTATATTCAGTAGGCTCTCACTACCTAAAATATACCAAAACTACTTATAAGTCTCATTCAAAGGATGTGTTATCAACCATGAAGTTCTATAATAATTCTTCAAATAATGTTCATGGTGTTAACAATACTTATTGTTCTAGAAATTCTTCACCCAGAAATCTTTCTATCATAGATTTGATTTTGTTCACATAATTATAATTTTGACTAAAATTCCACCTTGTAGTAACAAACTTTTCATTCAATAGAAACATAGTTTACTTTAAAATAACTTGGAAAGAATACTTTAAATTCATTAGCATCACTCTCCTCATTAGCATTGTGATGACTTATTAATGTAATACATCTTAAAAGCAGGATTGTCCTAATGTTCTGACCAATCCATATTCCTTAGTACACTTCAACTGACTAAAATAAAATAAACAAAAATAAACTTGGGGTCATACTGCCCAGAAACACTTATTCCTAGTCTGTGTCTTACAAACTCAGGGAAATCTTAACAACGTATTCATTGGATACCATCATATCCAGAAACCTATTCTCCCTAGTCCATACCTCTTATAGACTTAGGTCAAATATAATTGTATACTATACTCTTTCAATTCAATTCCTCTTGGATCTCTGAACTCTTATATCCAAGGCCTTCTTAATGTATATAATTACTTAATATTAATCAATATAAATTATCCTTCCTTAGTTTTCTTCCTTTTATTACCATTGTTTGTTTTACTTCAACTATATAAACAAATTACTCATTATAGTTAATCTATGAGATACTATTGAACTCAATCTTTGTGGTATTAAGTAACCATGATCCTTATTTTATCTGCCTCTGATACTTCTCATTCTATGTATAGGTAATAATGTAATAGTTCTCTTCATAATACCATCCATTAATAATTTTACTCCATGTGTTATATCGCTATAAGTAGTCTCTCTTGGTATTAATACACTCATAACCGTTAAATAACTTTTCATTGTCTGTTTTCTTCTTCATTAATATTTAGGAATTGATATGTATGTTAGTGTCAATCTTTTATTTCTTTGTAAGTCTGTTAATCTTCTGAATCGAATGAACTCTGTAGAATCTTCCATCACAGTTTGCCGATCAGATGAAAAGTCTCTTTCCAACAGTCGATGTCCAATTGTCTAAAGGAATGCTTTCCTGACTTATTGCCACAAGGATCTGTCACGCTTTACCTACATTAAAACAAATAACATGTGCAGCATCAATACAATGGCTTACAATGTTTATATCTCATTATTATTACACAGTTTAACATTGAATCATATTGACTACACAAAACATACTCATATCTTCTCATGAGATCTACCATCTAGTGGTCATTACATTTATGCCATGTGATGTATAATCTTTAAATTTCCTTTTATATTAAAATCTTTCTGAACATGTAAATTCTCAATTCTCAAACTTTTTATTACTCATACCTTATTAATCATACCCCCCTTTAAACTGTTTAATAATCTGGAGGTATAACCTAATCACATGTCAGATGTTACCACAAAATATTGTTTTCCACTATACTTTAACAATAGCAGCCATCTTGTCTTAACACTGGCACCATTTTGTCACATGAAACAAACTACAAAAACATATATTGTTTCCTACATCAAATGTATTTGTAAATCTAGGTTTTATCCTATCAAAACTTTTTATTTTTCAATGTAGTCAAAATATATGTATGTCCAGGCTTTGCAAAATATAGTAATCCATTATCAGTCATGACATTAAAATCTTATTCTCATGAATTAAATCAAAGATTTTAAATCAACCTCAGAAGTAACAACATTGTTTTTTTCTTCTGTAAAATGATTGGAGTTACTATATAATCGCACACACCCAATATAATATTGCATGTATCTAACTGCTACATTAGTGTATTTCATTCTGCCATATTTGCAAACTTGATGTAAATTTTTATTTTAATTAATTAACCTAATACTTTCTTCTAACACACATAAAACAATGAAAAAACAGTTCAAACTAACAATTCATTAAAACAAACTAACATAGATCTCTATTCTTGTGTGATGTCCGTAATTTTGGAATCAGCCTGTGTACATCTGTTGGCACACATATCCATGCTCATTCCCTAAACTGATCATATCTCTTGAAGTTATCTGATTCTTATAACTTTCTGTGTTACACTGCATTGCTTGTCTGTCTCCTAATTTCGATTTAGCTAAAATTGCTTTTATTTGTCTGATTATCAGTTTACAAGGAAAGGCTTTAATTGATTTATCTCCACATGCATTTTCTCTGTCAAAATTTTCAATCAACAAATTTAATTTCTCGTTTGCTTTTGATTTGATATCTCGGATAAAATATCTGCAAGATCTTAAATAATGTTGTTTATTGCACCAAAAACAAATAACTTTAGGAGTTATATTCTGCATTTGATTTAAGCAAATTGGGAGTGGCTCAGCTGTCTGTATCACTCTTTTACACTGAGTCCACGAAGAAGAAGAAGAAGGAGGGGGACGAGGGCTGTAACATCTGCACTTCTTTCTCTGCCTAAATCCACAAGTCATTTTAACCCCTTCATTCTTGGTTTCCCTCCTTAAGTTATCCAAGAACAAAGCTACTTCTGTCAAAGTGCTTTTTTCTCTAGCTAACACAATTGCAGTTGGATCTAGATCTTGAATTTTTTTCACAAATTCATTAATTAACTGATTCTCAGGAAAATTAGCAACAAGTCTATATGCACTTTCAAATTTTACAAGAAAACTAAATATATCCTCTCCTTTGTGTGGTTTTAGACATTTCAGTGTCTGCAAAATCATTCCCTGTTGTTAATTTTATTAATTGTGTTAATCTGTCTCGCTCATTCCCATGGACTATTTCACCATCTTCGTCATTAGGGGTACTAATGGGTGGAGTCAGTCTACGTGCAATGTACGTTGGCAGCCATATTTTAAACAATCTGTTCCTTTGTTCGTCATTTAGGCTGTATTTGTCCAAATTAGACTCAAACATTTCAGCATTAGTAAATGCATCCACTGACGTGTCATAAACTGGAATACATTTCACAATTTTCATTAATTGTTCATGTATTTTCAAATTAAGTTTTGCAGTTCTGTCTTGAAATTTACATTTCTGCAAATTACTCTGTGAGGATACATTTTCAGTATCTATTGGTTCTGGGATTAGATTCTGTGACTTTATTTTTCTTGTATTAACACACACTAGTTTAGCTTCATTTCTAAACTGGCAAATAAGATCATTTCTTAGTTCAACTCTATCCTCTAATTCACAGACTGTTTCTGACAATGTTCTCTCTGTTACATTGTTACACTGTTCATTTAAATCTGATTTGTCTTCTGTTAACCCATTCAAATCTATTTCTTTATCTGCTGATTCTAAATTTTCTTGACCTGCATCTCGTTTACAAATCAATGCATTGTAAGTACAGACTAGTTTCATAACATTTCTGATCTTTTGTTTTTTCTTATTAACAAACAATTTCTTGGCAATTTCACATTGTGTGTATAAAGATTGCCACAATACAGCATCTGAATAGCTGCTATTACATGCAAACTGCAATTTACTTTTCTCTGCAATATCATTTATGAATTCCATGTTACTCACCAGATCAGTTATCTCTGTCTATTTCGTTGCTTCATCCACACAGCTGCGCAGTTCTTTGCTTGGATCTGGAAATTTGCCAATCTCTGCCACGTGCTTGCTTCTAGATTTCACGTTGTATCTTTTGCTTTTTGCCTCAGTTGTAGAAAATAGTCTTGTACAGTCTTTGTGATTTGAAAACTTTATTTTTCTTACAAACCACCGTTCTTCTATGCTAATCTAGATTCTTTTTTTTTTTTCTTCACGTTTGTTTTCCCAGTTCCAAAAAAGCTTTGTAACTCGATTCTTCTCTCTCCTCCCTTGAAGTGGGAACAAAACTTGAATAGAAGACTGGTTGGCTAGCCAATGTAAAAAAATGTAGATGAGATTGGGTGTTCATGTTAATGTTGACTCTTCTTAAATTCTTCTTATCTTCAGTTGATTGATATATATACGTCTTTTGTATATATAATCTTGGGCCAAATGCTCGCCACAATAATATATGTCAATATTATTGAAAAGTAGTAATACGCAATCTGACTTACGGTTTCTTCCGGTTTATTGTTACGGATACATAATAAAGCATAATAAATGATGTTACAGGATTATAGACATTCAACAGCAGATGGTAATTGCTGGACTTCTGATGGGAGAGTTACATCGTTGTACAGAGCCAAGACAGGACTAAGCCCAAGACTGAGAGCGACCTCGTGTCCCTCTGTTACTATATAGATGTACTAATACTAACGTCAGCATATAACTCTAGCCATATAAGGACAAGACCCCCGAATCCACATTCCAGAGCTCTCGGACAAAGAAAGCCTTGTGACTTATTGATACCATCTGTTACTTATGTCAATCCACACATCCATATATATAATCAATAGAAACATAGAATATGCAATATTCTACAGTTCGCCAGTACCATATGGGCCGGGTTAATGACCTGAGACCCCAAGCTGGTGGGAGTATTATTACCGGGTTGGGACTGAGAGGAGCCCACAATTTTGGTTGTGGGAGGCTCTGGTGTTACAACGGGAAAACTACGGGCTTCCAGTCTCTCCAGCCTATCATTATTCTACCCCATGGAGGACACTAGCGAAGCAATCATGGTATGAAGGTTGGCGTTGCTCGTGCCTTCTCCCGCGTCTGTATTGTCAGTATTGGCTTGCATCAGCCTAAACAGTTCTGCTTTCCTGGCAGTAGCTGGAAAGGGGATGCTGCGCCTACGTAGTTCTGCCATGATGCGGGGGATAGTCCATGTTCTTATTGATGATGGGCTACAGGTGTCCCCCTTGCGTGTGGGGCTGGCGGTCCTGGCTGGAGTACTGGGGATTGAAATATCATCTCCGTCGTCTGGAACCTGGGACATAATGAAATATATAGGAATCATAAGCTTTAGCCTAAGGACGTATACTGGTATATTTGCTAGTGCCAAAGACATTCGTTAGATTGGTGACAAGCGAGACCCTACTAGTTGCCAAGTGGCTTGAGAGGCTCTACCTGCAGGGTGTTGGTCTCTCAGGGAATGTATTAATCAACTGGGGAGAGGTTGTGACAAGTGAGGCTTATGTGACTATGCAACAAGCGAGGCGGCTAGCTAGGTTGTGGCCCGTGGGGCGTATTACATCTTTCAAGGAGGATGGGTGTTGTACGTCTATATCTACGGCAGAGAGTGCCTGGGAAATTTGCCTAGATGGCCATACCCAATCGTCTATGGTTGGTTCCCTATACCTTTACTCTTGAGTGAAGACGCGGGAGCAACATTACTTTTGAACAATGTATGCTTGTGTAACAGAACCCCTGTTCTTGCCTGGACCACAGACTATAACATTGTATAACCCCCTGGATTTGTTACTTTGTTGCCAGTTTTATATTTGAAAACATACGAATGGGAAAACGAATGACACTACTAACCCATTCGTATGAACGAACAAACTACCGAACGAGAGACCACCCAGCCCTGTCGTGTGCCGCCAATTATCCCCTTGACTCTGTGCCAGACTGCAAACCACAAGCATTCTAAGTGGTTCCGTGGGTGGCCATCGATTCGTATGCATGAACACGTGGCGATGGCCATCTTGTTTTGTCGAACGCATCCAGCGTTGTTTAGTTATCGAGTGTCGAACTATTTTCGGACACTCAAACTCCCGAACACCGCTGAGACTTCCAGGACCACTTAACTTCACCCAGATTTATACGAACGAGGCTGCGTTCGGTAAAAGTACTGCACGAACACAGCGGCACACATAACGGATTCATGTGATTTTTGAATATGTGTGTCCCCCAATTCTGCTTGTTCCAAATATGTAATTTTTATTATAGTTTTGATGTTACAAAAATGGGAGTATATTTTTCACTTGGAGATAATTGAGCTGAAATAACAATTAACTCAATTATCTCCCAAGCAGAGAGGAGGAATGTACAGTAATTAATGGGTGTTTTTAAACTGTATAACTGTAAAGGATTGGCTGTTATGTTTTTTTTTTTTTTATTTTGTTTTTTTTAAACATTTATTGGAAGCTATGCAGCAGTTGCAAAATACAGATATGCATTTTAGTACAGGTGCCATGTAAGAACTGCACCAACTAATTGTTATTTTTCAAGGTATTTCTGCTAGGCAAGGAATTTGGAGGTAAGAACATTGACCTTAAAAATGGGTCCATGCCACTTCTCTGCACATGGATTAAAAGCTTGTTAGAAAAATTTACAAGACTTTATTCTCAGCTCAGATTTATTCTTCAAACATAACGAGTCATCCTACCAGTGGCAAAAAACAAAACAAAAAAAAAACATTCCCTCTGAATCATTCAAAATGACACCAACCTAAGAATAGCTTAGTATAACCACATCCATATGCACTCATGACCCCGAGCAGATATAGAATACATATGCGTAAATATTATAGAATCCAGTCGTGTCCTTTGCACGTTTTTCAAACAGGTTTATTCATTAATTTGGATGACTATATATAAGTGTTTCCACTATGGAAAAAGAAAGTGAACACAGTACATTTTCATGACTGGGGAATGGATTTTTTTTCTGAAGAAATCTTCTGAGAGGCAAAAGCTTAGAAAAAACAACCTGAACGTTTGAACTCAGTTCTTTTTTCGTGGTTATAAAGTCCTTGTAAAATTTAAGTGTACAAGGCTCTGGATGACTTATTGCTTTTCTTCATTTTCTTGCTTGGTGTCCACTTCCTTCTCTTGCTTGTCTTGCTTGGTGTCCACTTCCTTCTCCTGCACTTTGTCCTTTACAGAGAGATCTTCTAGTTTTTCTGCAACTTTGTCAGCACTATCATTTTTGGTCTCTTCTTTAGATTCATTCCCCTTAATTTCATTCTTGCATTCTTCAAACTTTGCCTTGAACTTTTGAGCATTCTCTGCATTTAAAAACCGAATGGCAAGCAGTTCTGGTTTAGGAGCTTCATCTGCATAATCTGCATATGTGTTCCAAACCCATGCTCTGTCACTTCCTGCATTGGGCTTGAGTTCCATTGAAGGTGTAACATAGTGATTTGCACAGATCTTCAGAGTTTTATCTCTTCTCATCAGAAGGCGAATTGTACCCTTCTCCCGGTGTTTTAGCAACTTAACATCCCCAGTGCCCCTTTCTTTCCACTCAGGCGGGTCATTTTCAGATGCAAATCGAAACAATTTTGCTCGCATCTTAAACATTTCTTCTTCATCCTCTTCAAGTGTCCTAATCTCTTGCTCAGGCAATGAAACTATAGGTTCAAATTGAGGGTCGTGATTGGCATCCTCTGTGTTGTCAGTAGAGGTTTCATGCTCCTCCAGTGTTTCCTTGGTGTCGGCCATCGGGCGGAGGATGGAGGCGGATTGAGCGGGTGGGTCTCGGCTTGCCTGGATGTCTCTCCTCCGTCCGCGGGTTTCGCGCTGTTTTTCCTCCGGCTGTTATGTTTGTGTCTGCAGTGCTCGACAAGGTCCATGTGGGTGGTAACCTTGTGAGAAAATGTGTATAAAAGAAATGCTTGTGTGGTCATTAAAACAGTTCTGCTTAACCCTAAATATGTAGCCTTGTCTCGTTATTGAAGGGTACTTGATTCCAGCTTAATCACTAGCTCTTTTAAGAGCTCTACTTCTCTCTCTCTACAAGGATCCAGCGGATGGGATATCGGGAATACTCTGAAGCACAGCCTCTTGCCGGGAAAAGGACGTCTCCAATGGCATACACCCCTCCAGCAACCAGGGTGGTTCTGCCCTGCGGTAGTCAGAGATCCTGCTAAGAAGGGAGGCCTAAACCAAGATGATGGACTACAGAATAGAGGATGGGGGAAAGTATGCGACACTGAAACCTGCAGAATATCCCCATAATCAATAGTGTTTAACTCGACTATGGTCTACCCACTATGGCGTGTCAACTTGTCCTAGTTTGGACCATGCAATCTATGACCTTTACGAGCCAAGCTTGGAGCCTTGAGTCTGTAACAGATGTCAAATGAAACGGATGATCCCAAATGCACAAGGCTATGAGAGCACCCGAAAGTAAGGGATCTAAGGGTCTGTACTTGAAAAACAATGCTAAAAATAAATAAATATATATGTGTGTGTGCTTTGACAAAGGCGCTTTGCTAGCGCCGAAACGGACGTTAGGTTTATGCTGCTTTTTTATTTTTAATCACAGCACAGAGTGATGTGTTCACGGGGTGGGAGAGTGAGATTCGACTGAGTGTAGGGAGTCGCCTATATAGACCTCCTTTTATGTGCAGTTAAGGTTTCTTTGTAGCTTTAGCTTCACTATTGAGACTTTGCTGCGTTCCTCAAGGCCGTTTATCGCTAGGATTTTTAGCAACAGATTAATTTATGGCTCTTTTGATAGGGTTTTGCTGGTGTTAACCTGCACAATTTAGCTATCATAGCTACAGTTGCCTTTTTTTGGCACGAATACAAACTGAACCATTTTCTGTCTAATACACTGTTGCAATCCAGCCCACACATTTGTGTGTTTATTGTTAATTGCAGCAAGGGCTCCCCACTGTATTTTTTACCTACAAGATGAGCAATCTTGTTTTTTGATTGCAACAATTCTCTATAGAGATTTCTTTCTGTTTGTCATCTGTCTCTTGGGTTATACATAGTGGAGCTATTTCACTACTTTAGAATTATCCTTTTTCTCTTGATATCACATACACTCAGGGTTATATACCAGAGAGTTATACCATTTATTAATCTTATATATCCTCTTGGTTACACTTGGATCCCCTGAGTCTATAGAGATTACATAGCATTAATTAACTGCCTGCAGTCTGAATCCCCTCCTGTGTGACTTAGATTTTAAGTGTTGTTTTTTGTAAGTTTCCTTTTTTGAGGGATTTTTTCTACCCTATAATAAAGCTCTTTTATTTATTTATTTTTAGCATTGTTTTTCAAGTACAGACCCTTAGATCCCTTACTTTCGGGTGCTCTCATAGCCGTGTGCATTTGGGATCATCCGTTTCATTTTTCAGTATCTAACTTCAAGGGTTATCCCCTATAGGGGTCTATGGACACACTCTAGACTCCTATCTATTAGGATTCTTTTTTACTTACTGTAACAGATGTCAAAATAAAATTATAGTGGTTCTGTAACTGTCTGCTTGGTACAGTTTGAACCTTGCGTACATTTATGCTACTGCCCACTGAGTTGCAGTAATACACCTGCATAATGAAACGTATGCTTGTTACAATAATGCACGTACCAATGTTAGAAATACAACACTCTTGACCTCTATCTTGGGTCTCTTGAATCACAAAAGCCAACCTAGAGATCAAATTGGCAAATACTGAATTAACATATTCAGCTGGATGCCCCCCCTGGGGAAAATGCCCATCAGCTATGACGTAAGAACCTTGTAACTGTCACCTAATGCATGTACCAGATTTGAAAGAAAGAAACACTTCTTGAGCTCTGACTAGGTCTGTGAAACACGAAAGCAGACCTATGGATTAATATGACAAAATACTTGTAAATAGACAACCAAATGCAACCTGGAAGAAAAACAAACCTTCATACTGTCCAAAAGCACTAACAGTCTTCACAGAACATAAATTAAGATATGGCAATGACATTCTAACATACACGGAACAGTGATATGAGACTATGTGTAACAATGTCGGTGACAGGCCCGGACTGACCATCGGCCCTGCTGTGTGCCTCCGTGGGCCGGTGGGGAGATCAAAGATCTCCCTCACTGCCCACAGGCAGTGTTACAGGCGGCCGCCGGCTGGGGAGGGAGGAGAGAGGACCCGGCAGAGCTCTAACAAGCAGCTCCGCCGGTCCTCTCGTGGGATTCTGAGCATTGCAGGTTAGAGTTCACTCTCACCACTGGACCACCAGGGAAGGCAGCATGGCTCTCCACCCCCCAGGCATAACGGATCTCCTACCTCCCCCCCCTTCCAGGATAAAGGTAAGAAGGGAGGGGGGGAAATAATTTTTTTTTATTAGTAAAAAAAATATAAATTTAAATAAAAAATACATTCACTCACACACACACAGCACCCCCCAGACACACACAGCACCCCCAGACACAGCCCCCAGACACACACAGCACCCCCCCAGACACAGCACCACCCAGACACACACTGCACCCCCAGACACACACATAGCACCCAGACACACAGCACACCTAGACACACACAGCGCACCCCCCAGACAAAGCACCCTCACTCACACAAACAGAACACTCCCACACATATACAGCACACACACACATATATATATATATATATATATATATATATATATATATATAATAACCCTCAGTGAGTTAACAGACAAAGAAAATTAGAAACATAGAATGTGACAGCAGATAAAAACACCCTCACACACAGCACCCCTCTTACATACACACACTGCGCCCTTCACACATACAATAAGTCCAAATATATATATATAAATATATACATACACACACACACACACACACACACTACAGCACCCCTCACACTGCACCACTACACACATTACGCTCCAGATACACACTAGATCCCTTACCCTATATGCACTCTTAATCCTCTACACACACTCACACACACACACACACACACACACACAGGGTCCTTTACACAGTAGATCTCCTACACACACACACACACTACATTCCTTGTCAGCAAACACATACAACATTCTCTAAACACACCCTCTCTGCAACCCCTACACACACTACGTCACCTATACACACACACTTCAGCCCGTATGCACACACTCGCTGCATCCCCTATAAAACTATGCCCCCTATACACACACTCTCTACAGCCCCTAGCCACACATATTACAACACAAACACAAATTAAATTGACCTATTTATACAATACCACACCACACTCTACACACACGCAATCCCACAAGCAGGCTCCAAACATATGTACCATGCACTTTCCTGGCCCTTTTGTCCTCTGGTATCCCACTTGTGGAGACACCAGAGACAATTTAAAAGCAAACACATGTATGTACGTAGTGGGGAATCGCGATGCAGCCTAGAACAAATCTAGCCCCATTAAACCCCCCAATAACGACAGACAACTTAGTATGGATGAACAGGCCACAGCATTTATTATAACATAAATAAATTACTGCATAACACATCCATAACTTTTTATTAAATCTCTTCTTTCTGTAACGAAATAATCATAAATTAACATATAAACATATTACTCAACACAGTGTTATGCAGTGACCCAACCGTCCTTGCCAATAAACATACAGTGGTTCCTAACCACCACTTCCTCTCACCTCCCCCCTCGTCATAAATCATCTCTTTCCAATGCCCGCCATCAGCCGACCTTATCCACGCTCGATGGGCACGACACCTCAGGCAACCTAATGTTAACCGTTTGAAGCAGGGGAGGTTGAGACCTGCAAACATAATGAACTTACTCCATCCTTAAACATAACCCTTCAAACTTAATTGGCAAGGACATACCCCTGCCACCAGACCCGTTGATTTACCCCTAAATCAGCGGGGAACCCCACCAAAACCCTCCATGGCCTGTTCCACGGCCTCCTGTAGGGCGAGATTAAAAAGGTCGAGTCCGACCTCCGTCAGGTGCACACCATCCCCTCGAAAAAATGCAGCCGCCTCACGCTCAAAAACCGTATGGCGGATAGGAATCCCCCGAACCCTCAAAACAAACTGGGAAACCCGCCTGTTAAACTTGCGCCTGCAGCGTTCCACGGCACTCTGGCTCCTAGCGCCACGCCAATAGTTACGGGCAATGACTTCTGACCAGATCAAGCGCACGTTGGGGAATAGGACTAGAATGCGGGCTAAGTCCCGCTTCACCACCGAAATCAAATCCCAGATGGGCACTGAACCCAAATCGTTCCACCCTAAGTGGATCACCAGGACACTCGGTACCCCTAGTAGGTGAGAAAGCTGCACCAACTCAGGGAGGAGCCGAACCCACCGCATACCCCTCGCACCGAACCATCGAACCTCTGCTACGGAAGGCGTGAAACCCAACCGCTCGCCTCCAGGCCGCACCGCCGCACGCTGCCTAGCCCAGTAAACATAAGAGTGCCTGATGATCCAAATCCTGGGGGGAACCGAAACTGTGGAAAGAAATTACGACAGTAAACCCTCCGGCCGAACATAGGAAACATAACGTCTTGATTCCCACCTACCAATCCTCTAAACCACCTGCGCAGGCATGCCAAGCCTAGAGGCCTCAGTAGCCGCCCCAATACGGAACGAGTGGCCCCCGAACTCCTTGCCAACCAAACCCATGGCCTCCAGCCCCAAACGAAACACTCGAATAAACTGAAAATGCGACAGGAAACTCCCATCCCTATGTACCAGGAGAGGCAGTGCAGTAGCAGGCCGCAAGGCGCAATATTCCCCAAAGGACCACACAGGACAAATGCCAGAACCAGGCACGGCCCCCAACTGGACCCACTTACCCCTACCCAAAACATCCGTCTTAGAGTGGCGGATCCTGAACGAGATCCCATCCGCGGTGCACGTAACGTCCTCAAACAGCACACCCCCTACCTGCTGCCGATTGGGGCACACCAGCTCCCCAATCCGCATGGCACCAAAGAATGCCAGGGAAAAGGCCAGGCGAAAAAGCCGAACCTCGAAATCCGAATGGCAAACCCCGTGCAGCGCCTCACACAACGAGGTTAAGAGCGTGCCCGAGACAGGACGCCTCGAATCCCGTGTAGACACCCTACCTCGCCTCAAACCCTTCAGCACCTGGCGTACAAGAAACGCCTTGGTAGCGTCCTCCCAACCCTGCAGCTTAAACAGGAAGCTAAGCCCTGCCAGGCGCGCCGAAATGGCCGAGGGAGACAGCCCAATGGCCTCCCACTCCCCCAAGAGAAGCACCAGACCCTGCAGACGAGTGGCCGAATCCTGGAAGCCCCCTTTGGACCTCTCCCACCCGTCCCATTCCCTCCAAACCTTGTT